CACAGAAAAATGTTTCAATAATTAGTAACAATAAAAATTTATAATAATTTTAAGAGGATGGAGGCGCTGCAAGCTTTGACATACTCCACAGTGTCATATGTCCATAACTGTTCAAAGAAAGTAGAAGACGATGTGTCTGGATGGAAATCTCGACCCACATCACTCATGTGAAGGGTCCAGTCAATAAAAACGATGCTCTTAGCAAGAATCGTTTATTTTCAACGATCCTGAGCTCCAGCCTGGTTCAGATCTCTGGATTGTGGATTTCTAAACCCGCGCGTCAGCTTGGAAACACGACAAAGGAGCAAAGATGAAGCAGGACGAACTTTCATCACTACGTCTGAACTAAAGCCGTGATGCTCTAGTTTGCTGTTCTTTGCTCTACTTACTATCAAAGGTTAGTTTGTGGTTACAGTTTACATCATGTTTTTAAAGTTAACACTGTTGAACCATCAGGTCATTTTTCTGTTAAAGGAACATTTTTGTTGAACTATGCTCGTTGACGTGGTTACACTTTGTTTGTCCCTTTGTTCAGAGCAGCTGTGTCTGGGCGGGGCCGGCCCAGCACTTCCTGTTTATGATGTCACTGACTGCATCACTGGGTACAAACTAAGCTTTTTGAGTTGCATAAAGTTTTACTTTTGAAACCATTTGAGTGTAAACGAGTAAGATAGATGAACAGTTTTGTTTTTGGCTAACCTGTTTGTTAATGAGAGACTGATGAGGTTCAGGTGTTTACAAATCTGTGCAAAACCAGTGACAACCGGGGTTTTTTAAGACGACAGAGAATAAAATACACCAAGAAGAAACTTGCTGTCGTCTTATCGCTACCTCACACTAATCAAGTCCAATTTCACTCGCTGGGCCTCGTTTTAGGTTTGACAGCGTTTTAGTAGCTAAAGGTGATGCGTGGACATGAGTTGAGCTGCGGTTTGGGGAAGACCTCGAAGGCGACTGGTGACAGATCCTCGTGCACTAAATAGAAGAAGTTAAAGAATTGAGAACAAGCAGGGAGGGAGGGGCACGTAAACGAGAACGATCAGCTTGCAGAACTGAGGGAACCTGAGCGTGTTTGGAGGCGTGGTCCTGAAACTCCAATGCGTAATCTCCAATACAACCACCTGATCTCAAAAG